ATCTTAGCGCATATCTTAGCGTATATCTTAGCGTATATCTTAGCGCACATCTTAGCGCACATCTTAGCGTATATCTTAGCGTATAGCGTAGATCCTTATTAACTGCTTCTTATTATACTTTATATTTTGCTACATATTTTGGGGTGTAGCTGGGACCCTGTGTACACAATTTCATTCCACCTCATGTACCACATGTGGTGGTAATGACAATAAAGTTTACTTGACTTGAACTTATAATAAGTCATTTGTTATTGGGTCTGTGTAGAAAAACTCCATCACTCATTTATTATTGTTCATACAACTCTCGGACTGGGTTATTTTAGTTTATTGTTCTGATCTCTCATCTTGTGGGATTTTCTTCTCTGCTGTTTCTCGGAACGTCTCTCCACCTGTTCTGTAGGAAGGGAAATGTGAAGACTATGGCAGACCGTGTCCTGTTGATGAGGGATCAGCTGAAGGCCAAACTGTTAGCTCTGGGGACCCCGGGGACCTGGGAGCACATCACTCAGCAGATCGGGATGTTCAGCTTCACCGGACTGAACCGTGAGTATAAAACACACAGAATTACAGTGCCTTCAAATACTAACACTTAAAAAAGACAGTGTACCTCAAAATAATGCCACTATAAAACAAAAATGTGTAGTATAATAATTCAGAGCAACTCTTCTAATTAAAAAATGTCAGTGTTATGAAAATATGAAAAGCCCACTTGACTGGAGTGGAGCCGTGTCTAGTTACTTCTTTCTCCTTCAAATGTCCATGCCCTCTTTTGGGTGAAATAAACAACGTACAACAGTTTTGTTCAAATAGAAATCATATAGATATTGTGCCTTAAACAGGCAGCCTGCAGTCATTGAGTGATTCATGAACTCTTCCGTTTACCAAGGTATTCTGGAAGATGTCCATCAAGGTGGTTTCAGTGATGGTTGTGCATTAATTCTCAAATCAGCTTTATATTTCTCTGGTTCTCTAAACTGTGTCGCGGGTATTTCTGGCCTGTCCCAACCACTAGAACTTCTTTAGTGGAAACCCTTACGTTTTTCCTCGCTCACTCTTGAGCAAGACGGATGCTTTTCCTTTCCTCTC